AATACACACAGACACTAGACAACAATTCAATAATCCTCACGTCAGCACCTGGACGTTGTCTTCAAAGGTGTGTGTGTGTGTGTGTGTGTGTGTGTGTGTGTGTGTGTGTGTGTGTGTGTGTGTGTGTGTGTGTGTGTGTGTGTGTGTGTGTGTGTGTGTGTGTGTGTGTGTGTGTGTGTGTGTCAGTCTGCGCCCCACACCGTGCACTAATGCAAGTCTGAGGTTGTGGATGAATAATTGAGTGCTGGCGGAGCTCCATTGTTCATGGTGGATTCACAGATGATTGTTAATATTAAGCAGAAGCAGTCCTCCACCCTTTGTGTACCCTCCACCCTGATCTCTGCCCCCTCCATCTGAGCGTCTCTTTGTCTCCTCGCTGTAAATACTTCATTTACATTCAAATCTGCTTCCTTTTGAGAAACATGCTTCTTTACATCTCTGAGCATCCAGGTTCAATTTGCATTTGTAAAAGGTTATGTAACAGAACGTTAAGATATTCAGCGATAGGCCTGAAGTGACGTTCACACATAATGACTTTAACAGAATAATGAACATTAGGGCAGCTTCACTCAACGTACAGGATGACGTAGGATGATGGAAAAACGATTTACCAAACTGTGTGGAAGGGTTTAGCATCAAAGATACGATTTCATTTTGGGATCTGATTCCCTTTCTGTAACGTAGCAGGATGAGGCCTTTGTTCTGTAGTGTCGGTAAAATCGGCAAAAATGAGTTTCCAACAGAGAAAATTCCCCTAAACTCTCCTCAAGTCGGGAAAAACAACATCGAGCTTTGTGGAAGCGGTTCTGTTGAGCTTGTCCCAAATTGTATCCAAATCCATGAAATATGATCTGTGTTTATTTAAGAGCTCAATGAACAGCAAGACTGTCTGTCTGTCCAGAATGCACACGTAAATAAATAAGCATAACGCTCTAAAATCCACCTCAGCTTCAGGCCTACATATAATAATAATCAAATGAAACATAACCAATCTAAAAAGTGTTTTCACTTCCTTTAACCCAGCGAGATGAAGCCTGTGTGCTGCAGTCATGCCCGCTAGTTCATGCACTTTCTGCCAATGTGTCATGCATGTAGTTTAGAGGTCATATCAGGAGGAACAGTTTGTATGGCACCAGGTTCTGACCGCTGCCCTCTGTTGGGTTAGTTATGAAACCTGATGAGTGTGTTGTCACGGTCACGGTGTTTCAGTCCATTTTCTGTCTGCCTTTGTGTTTCCTCCTTGGCAACCAGGTCTGTCTGTACTCAAAGCCTGCACAGTGAATCCGCACATAGTCATTTTCTCAAAGTGGGATTACTCCCTGCTCAGGAAAGATAAGGTAAGATCTCCCAAAGGAAATTGCTGTAGCAGAGTTACAAAAATACAATAAACACAGCAGCATGATAATACGACGGTACACTAACAGTGCAGCAAAAAGAGCAATTCAATAACGACAGGAAACATAGACGGTCACACAATCAATGTAACATACTGTGCAGTGAGAGCAGCCACTAAACGATGAACACCTGATGAGTGTGATTCCATAAGAGATGTCAGTCCATTGCCTTTGTGTTTCCTCCTTAGCAACCAGGTGTGTCTGTACTCAAAGCCTGCACAGTCATTTTCTCAATGTGGGATTACTCCCTGCTCAGGTAATCTGTATAATCTCTACTCTCTGTGTGTGTCGCCTTCTCCCTCTCCTCCCATCGTGCCTCTCATGGGGCTTTCACACCAACGCGGTTCCAGGGCCGGTTCGGAGCTAGAGCCTGAAAAGCACCGGTTTGACCTGTTCACACCGCAGCGGAGCCGCCTCTAAGCTCCGGAATCCGGTTCGTTTCAAGCACCAAAAAGTTGTCGGTCTAGAAGCAAGCACCGCATACGTCACGCTTACGTCGGAGGCGGGGGCAGGGGCATCAGTTTTAATGTTATACCATAGTAATTAATGCTGCAAAGCTGGGTATTTTGGGCTTGGCGCATGCAGAGGCTAACAACAGCTAGCTCTAACGCCATCGAATAGGACGTATATTTACCTTCTTTCTCCTACGGAATCGTCGTCTTTGATGATGATGATTTGTAAAGAACTTGCATGTAACGACTGAAAAGTTGGTAGTAAAGTCGTCCCATTTCTTTCGTTTCGCGGCTACATAACTATCGTGGATAGCAAACCAAAACGC